AACACCGCAGTCATGGACACCTACCAACGCTCGTTGGACGCTACCTTCAATGGCAAAATTGAAGAGGAAAATGGAACTTGGGCAACCTTGGCGCACGCCGCTGGTGACAGGAAACGGAGAGTTGAGTCTGCCGTAATCCTTAACCTTGCTTTACCTGTGACTAAAATTTCTACAGGATGGCTACAAACTTGTCAGGCACATTTTTCCTTCGTACACAGTTCAACAACGCAGATCTATCTGCTGTATCAAATGCAGCTCGGATGCCCAAGAACCCAAAGGTTGTTGGCCGTCGCTGGACGTGACGGAGTTCAGGAAGTTTGCGGAGTGTGAAGATTTGGTCGATGAAACTTCGGCTTGAACGAAAACCAGCTTGTTCATCTCGGGAAATGCTTTCTTTAGCCACTGGAAGACTGCGAAGTAAGGCGGACACGAAAATCTTGAAAGCAACTGAGCTCAGCGAAATTGCGCGGTAATTGAAGCTATCTTCGCGGGAGCCTTTCTTGTGAATTGGGACAACGACCGATTCTCTCCATCAGTTTCGGACCTTTCCGTCACTCCAGACATTCATGAACGGCGATAAATTTCGCTAACATGTGCATTCCCGCCATTTTTGACTGGAGTCGGGGGTAGGGTATCATGACAGTGAGCTTTATGGCGTTTCAAAGATTGGATTGCGCTTCGAATCTCTGTTTCGGTATGTAGGTGTCACAGTGGGGTGTACTGAGCAGTTAAATTAAGGAGAAAAGTGTTCTGCCAGGCGACCAAAGTATCTCTGTACGTGCCATTTGACTCAGATTGTCTGACTGATAGAGTGGGATTTGCGCTCGGTGGTCTTGATGAGGTAAAATTAACTACAAAAATCGCCAACCGAGGCAGCGGTTTCCATCTAAACATCTTTTGATCACCAGGATTCACGGTCAGAGCGAAAGCTTGATTTCAGCTGTCTAGAGATGGATCTGCGAAGTTCCTTGTGGTCCGCACCAGCGAGCAGAGCCCGTCGACGAGGATTTTGCGAATTCCAGCTTTTGGCTATGTAGCGAGCGAAGCCGCAGCTGAACAAACCGGTGGATAGCATAGTTTGTTTCAAATCTGATTAGTGTCGGTCAACGTCCAGAGTAGGCGGGAGAATAGGATTTTCTCGACGCTTCTGTTGGTGCTCCGTTTTGACCTTTAAGTCTTCCGACTTGTAGATGTTCAGCCGGGTTTGTTTGACCCTATGTGAGCCACCGACACGCATGCAAACTGTCGCACACACCAATACGTGATCGGTTTCTGCCCAAGTTGACCAAAATGATCGGCAATCGCGTAAGATTCCACACCACCTGCGGCGTGTGACTATGTAATCAAGTGGTAACGTGCGGTGAGTTGACGTTGCATGACACCAAGTTGCACAGCGTCGTCCAGATTGACGAAAGCTCGTGGTGGAAAGGAAAAACTGTTGATCAGCACGTATTCGGAGCGGTCTCCTTTGTTAGAGCAGATGTCCTAGGTGGCGTTTACATGACAGCAACCGACCGACATATGAGCTGAAGCCTCCCGCGATGACAATAATGTTTGTTTTAGGTGCCCTTAGGAGCAGCTTATGAAGACTTTGCTAAAACCGTATCCGAACTACAGTCAGTCGACGCCTAGGCTGTGAGTACAAAATGTGCATGTTTGTTGGCCCTATGTCTGTTCACCTTGCAAAAGCCACGAAGCCTCACAGCACAAAGACGACTGTTGCATGGAACCCATTCAATGTGAGAGGCGTCGGTTCCAGCACTGAGGGTGATCACTACACCCGCTTGTCCAGATACGGCAGACTCGGCGTCACCGAAAAACGGATGGAATTGGGTGTTTGGGTGGCGTGTTGACGATGGTTGGTAGATTGTGTTGGACGCTTGGAGTCGTGTTTCGCTCAAGTAGCGTACATCGATTGCAAATGTCTCCAGAGTGCGTACAAGTCTAGCTTGCTGTTCGACCTGCAGTAATGTGCGCACATTGGAGGTTACTAGTTTGTACTGCGTTCTCGTTTGCAGGAGCGACGATGACGGACTACGGGGCCCTCAGCTCCCTGTTGAGGACTGTGTGGATGATGGATGCTAATGGAACAACTTCATCGTCTGTTCACCATTGAAGAAATAGATAGCAATGGGGGTGTATGATAAAGGGAAGGCTATGTAAAATTGTGGCTTGTGTTTGTAAATTTGTGTAGCAACAGGTAGTCGTCCTTCAAGAGAACGAGAGAGCGTATTTGTGTGATTCCATGATTCCTCAGTAGATGAGCTACTACCCGGTTGCATAGGTCGAAGTAGGCAGGATGTCTTAGGGGATTACCACCCCGAGTCTTTGGCCAAAGGACATAATCTACAAGGCAGCAGTGCGAGGTAAAGGTTTCGCGCCCGTCGGATGCCAGGCTCAACACTCGAAATCAGAGGCTGAATCTAATGCTCGGATCGCTTGCCGGTATGCAATGTCTCCGAGGAAGACAAAGGGCAATGACTTTATTTAGTGACAAGTGACATCCACCACGTCACGGTGTGGCTTTTTACATGGAGAACGCGCGCCAAACGAAAACCCACCACGCCCTTAACACTGCTGCCAAACCATTTATCGGAGCCGGAAATTCCAGATCCCCCAACTGCACCGGGAGGATATGTATGTATTCTCAACAGTCTATTAGCTAGACAAAGAGCCAGTCTAAAACCATGGAGATAAGGGGATAAACAAGATTCAAAGCTTCATAATCATCGTGGCATGCTAGTTGAAGGTGAGCAACACACTTCAACTAATATGCCGCAGGAAGAATGGAACTGTTTGATAAAAAGCAGAACAAAACATTTTTAGTTTGTTTTTCACACGCCGCTTTTGTTGTTGTTCGGCAATCCAGCCAACTAGACTGTGGAAGTAAATCAAACTCGCTTGACGTAAGGAATGACGCCTCTGCGATTCTGCAACTTTCTATTGCATTTGGACTTCACGATACGATAACGATCGGGATGAATAACCTCATCCTCCACATCAGGATGCAACCAGGTTTCTTGTAACATCACGATATCTGTCTTTGCATATTCTATACACTGCATACTGACAGTCAGGTCAGCAATTGTCCCGAGGTGAGAGCGCACTTTGTTGCGGAACATCTACATTCTACGTGATCTATACCCTACAGAACGCCTGAGTCCGTCTTGGCAATCAGCACGATGCTTTTTTATTCTTTTAAAGCGTTGTATGAAATTCGTTTGGTTGTGTTATATGTCCCATGACTGACTTTCTGTCCTATTTGATGAGGTTTCTGGCTTTGCGACCGCACTTGGCGTACAGTGTGTTTCACGCAGTTTTGGAACGGTTTAAAAAATTCGGCAGAGCAGGGTACCACTGACGAGTTTAGAATAAATCTGCTAAACTAAATTTCAAAAATGTACATGACATAATAGATAAATCTGCCCTATGTAGCGTTAAAAGCGGAATTCCAGTGCGAAACCCAACTGCCGATTTGAAAGCCCTGCGCGAGCATGGTTAATGGATCTTCACAGTCTTCTTCCTGCTGTTCGTGTCACCAGCCTTGTGGACGCATTTCATTACACTATTACATTAGAAAGCAACCTTAACGCGAACCAGAATTTATTTAATATTTTAGTTTCATACTTTTCTATTTTCTCGTTGCGGACTCTGTGTTTGCCTTCTCCGTTTCTGTTATGGTCACCAAGGTTGCACCGGGCGCTCCGATTGGCTGTTCGAAGTAAGCCTATCTGTCCCGATTAGCCGATCAAAAAAGGCAAAGTTGTAGGCACTGTTTAATGGCTGTCAGACACGAGACGATCGCAGTGCGCAGAGTAGTGATATGTATTTGTTCATAGCGACCATCCTGAACGTTCTCTGTTCTCTTCTTTACTTGCCAATAATAGTATTAGCTTTTGCGAGAACATTCTTTTGATTAACCGTTGCAATCATCTTGCTTGATTTCTGGAAAAAGGCTAGAGTTTGATCTGTTTATGGTTCACTAATCCATTCGTTAGGAGGTGCTCCTCCTAACATTTTCCTTCTATCTTAATCTCTTTTGCTTCTGCTAGCTTGCCGAACAACCTCGTGGTGCCAGCTGGGTGATTCGGGATTTTCCCGTTCCAGCAAATGGTTCAGCGGCAGTGTTCCAGGACGTGGTGGGTTGTCGCATGGCAAGCGTTCTCCCTATAAAAAGCTACATGTGTCCGTCTAGCACCACTGTGACGTGGCGGACGTGACTCGCCACTAAATAAAGTCACCGCCCCTTGCTTCATCCTGGCGAAGCACTGTATTAGAGCAACGCTATGCTGTAATTTCGGGGAGCATTGGGCCCCTGTTTGAAAAAGAAACAAACGAAAGGCGTATGAACTGAGCAATCAGTCACCGGCCCCCAATGGACGCGATTCCCTGAATTCGCTCCGCTGCCTTGCGGCTAGGCTATTCAGCCAAAGACGGGGTGGTGTCCCCTGAATCAACACCCTACTTCGGCTTGGGCAACCGGGTAGTGTTTCGCCCTCTGACGAAACCATGGACTTTGATGTGTTGTGTAGTGTTTTCTTTTACTATATCTGTACCTTCTTTTGAATCCCATGGTTTCTGATGGCTCTATGTCTATTCGTAGACTGTAGCAAAATGTATATTATATACTTTGCATCCCGGTGTGCGTACCCTTTGACATGGTACGATGTTAAAACCTTGTCTACTTTGTTCCGTCTTTCGTCTTCTTGACATTTTTTCGTCTTTCACGCACTTCCTTTTGTACATTTTAGCACTGATCTAGCCGGTGCTCTATAATGCATCTTGGTTGGAATAGTGCATATTATCCTCATTTACTGGAACCATATTGTAGGCATTATGGGGATCTTCGGAACTGAATCTTGGACATTGTATCTCTCATCTACGCTTCAGTTTCTTGATAAGTGACTTGGAAATAATATTTTTATCTTCTAGTCTCACCAATACGTACTTTATTTTTCTATCTTGGCGCGCATTCTCTCCCTATCCTTTTTATATTTTCCAGCCTTATTTCGAACAGGTACCCCTGTTTGTTCCAGTCGACCGTTCTCTGGTTCGTTTTCCTCTTGGCCCCGTGGGCCGATGCCAGTGTTCCCCCCAGGGTTTCCAGCGCTGAGTTTACCTCCATCGGCGTTTCGTCCGTCACCCTCACGACATCTGTCCGTCGTTCGCACGGAACTTGATGCACCATTTAATAGGCGCAACTTCAAGAGGTGGAAATCTGCAAGCAGATGTTCTCACTTCCGTTTTCACCCCCGAAAACCTCGCCGCCTGGAACAGTCAAAAATAACTTTGAATCCAAATGATCCATTAAATCTTCAGGATTTGGTAAAAGAGACGGAAAGACGCCGCGTCGAAGGTCTGTCACCATTACGTGGCGATTCTCGTTTAAATACTCCCGCGTTAAGTGCCGCTGGCCACATGAGTCCGGAAAGTCCCCAACCTGTCCTTTATATTCCTAACACTAGACCAATTAACGATCGGTCAGCACCCAAACACCTAGTCTCTGGTTCTGCCGCACGCTCCCGGTCTTATCGGAGTTTCCATCGCCGCTCTTCTCGGCACCAGCGTTCCAACTTCCTTCCCATTACCGGAAACTACAGGGATTACTATTTCCGCCGAGACCCTAATGATCGCATATCTTATATGATGCCTGAATGGTTTACCGGCAAAGATGTTGCAGACTATGGCTGCCACAACGGGACGTTCACGTTTTGCATTCTTGAGCGGTTTCCTGACATCAGACGAATTGACGCAATTGACTGTGACGCCGAGTTGATCGCAAACGCTAGAACTATGCAGCGCGAAAGGCTACGTTGGGACACGAGTTCGGGAGTACGATATGACAAAATTAATTTTCAGGTTGCCAACTGGATAGATAGTTCAACACCCACTGAGGAACCGGTGTACGACACCATCATGGCTTTCAGTGTGACAAAGTGGATCCATCTAAACCATGGTGATGTTGGACTCGTGCGGTTTTTCCGGCGGGCATTCAACCTTCTTAAACCAGGAGGTCATTTGATTCTGGAGCCCCAACCAAAATCGTCATATCGAAGAACACGGTTCACAGTAAGTTTTCCTCTTTTGTAATCACTGTCTTGTAGGCTCTTCAGAGGTCTATTTTCAAGGAGCTGAAAATAGATCCGGTAAAACTAGAACCACTGTTGGTTGATCTTGGGTTTTCTTACTTCGACACCATCAAGATACCACGACCCAGTGAACCCTTCCGCCGGAAGATAATTCTATGCTCAAAATCTTATGGTGCAACTCCCGCATCTATTCGAAATGTTTTCCGTTCGGAAGTCCATTTATGGAACCTTTCTCCGTCTCCACGGAGCCTGGTTTCTCGGGAACCTCCTCCCGTCTGTTACCACCCCCAGACTCCTTTCTACGCCTCAGGTACTCCGGCTACATCAAGCGATTCTCCCGCATTAGCTCCTCAGCAGGCGTATGCCGTCTCCAGTGCCGTTTCAGCCCCTTCATCTTCTTTGACCATAACGTCCTCAGCAAACACTGTGTCAGGTCCTACTGTAGAGTCTCCCTGCGAACCTGATTCTACTTCCGGTACTTGAATTCCTTTCTTGCCACAATCTTGTAAATTCTTTTGTAAATACTTCGAAAATCTTAATTATTACTCGGTTTTTTCTCTCATTGCATCAGTCCAAGTTAGGTTGATAAAAGCAACGTGCTAACACCCTCTTCTTTCTATCTTGAGCGTACAAAGATTGTCCATTGACGGACAGCGGTTGTTTTGAATATAAATAACTTCATTTTTCAACCATGCCCCGCTGCCTTGCGGGTAGGTTATTTAGTCAAATGCTCGGGGTGGAGTCCCCTAAGTCAACTCCCTACTTCGGCTTGGGCAACCGGGTAGTATCACGCCCTCTCGCGAAACCGTGGACTGTATTACAACGTGCTCATCAGGTACTGTTTCTGCTAGTCCATTTCACGCTACTTCATCACACGCCAATTGTTTATTTGCTAACATTCCTCACTTTCCGTTACCCGATTCATGGCTCCAATTCCGGTTTCTCCGCAGATCAAGGAGTTCAGCCTATGGCTCTCCTTTGTCCCCGATCCTCGTTCCGTCTGGCGTACTTCAACGTTCGGACGCTCATACAGATTGGACAGTAAGCCGGTCTAGCGCGCACCCTAGCTTCCCTAGACATTGATGTCTGCTGCCTTTCAGAAACCCGATCACAAGATCCCAGTACCGTGCTTACATTGACATCCCCCACTGACCACGAAGTCAGATATTGCCTGCGTCTTTCTGGAGATCCAGAAGCAGCCTCAGCGGGTTTGGCTGGTGTAGGTATAGCACTGAGTGGCAACGCCGAGGCGGCACTACTGAACTGGTTCCCGATTAACAGCCGACTATGTGCAGTTCGGCTTCGGGGTTCATGTAGAATCAACAGGCACCGCGAAGAGAGACGCAACTTGTTTGTGATCTCTGTGTACGCTCCAACTGACTGAAGTGGCGACTCGGTCATGGACGAATTCTACCGAGGTTTACATCAGCTCTTGACTAATGCTAAAAAGTCGGATGTCGTTATCCTTGCTGGGGATTTTAATGCACGGGTTGGCCGCCTGTTACCATACGAACGCCACCTTGGTTGTCATCACACGCTCGATTGGAACCGCTCTGATAACGGAGAGAGGCTTCTCACATGCGAAGACAACCGTCTGTTTCTTTCGAGCACTAACTTCGGGCGTACGAAGAAGCGTTCCGCAACGTGGCGTCCCCCTTCTTCAACACAACTGTGGTCTCAAATTGATCACATTCCAATTAGCTTCAGATGGCGAGGCAGCGTACTGAACTGCAGGTCCTTTTCGTCTACCTTCGTTGACTCAGATCATGCTCTGGTCGGCGCGAAAATCTGTGTGTTTTGGATGATCCCGAAACACGAAGCACTGCAAGATTGATGTAAACAGATTAACTCATTCCACTGTCCAGATGAGCTATCAGTCTTCACTAGCATGTGCACTCAGTTACAATCCACCGCAAGAAGTGGAACAACACTGGACTTGTATACGGAAGGCGATGACCATTTCCGGACAGTCATGTTGCGGCCTAACTCGACGCCCGTTGAAGGCTTAGATTTCTGCTCGTTCTCTGGAGCTGTTCGAACGCCGCAAAGATATCCCGGCGGAATCAGATTGCAACGAGCGGCGCCGTTCTGCCAACCGGCTGCTCAAGCAAAGCCTACGCAAGGATCGCGATACATCGTGGTCTGAGCGTGCTTTAGAGATGAAGACTGCTGCCCTCTCTGGCAACACTCGCGAGCTTTTCCAACTCATTCGGCCCACTGACCTCAGGAAGCCTGGTGTTAGTGAGGTCATTTGTGAGGTGGATGAGTCTCCGATCACTAACCAACAGATGCGTATGGACCGCTGGGCCGATCACTTTCACTCGCAGTTCAACTGGCCTCCACCATCCATCAGTACATGCAGTACACCATGTTGTCCACCCTGGCTCGTCCCACTGAATCCACCCAGCGAAGTTGAAGTCTGCCTCGAGATTTGATGCTTGAAGCGCTTCAAGGCTGCCGGCTTAGACGGACTTCCTCCGGAACAATTCAAGTACGGCGGTGTGGCGATCATTAACCAGCTGACCGCGCTGTTCGCAAAAATTTGGCATAAAGAGAAGGTGCCTTCCTCTTGGGGCGAATCAGTTCTTGTCCCGGTTTTCAAGAAAGGCGCTCGCAGTTCATGTGCAAATCGTTGCGGGATTAGTCTTATTTCGGTTGCCTCTAAGCTCTTGGCATCCATACTGCTTCGCAGACTATCCCCAGTACGTGAATCATTCTACCGCGAAGAACAAGCTGGTTACCGTCCTGGTCACAGATGTGTGGATCAATTCTTCACGCTCCGCCAGCTCCTCGAACATCGCCACATTTATCACAGGTCCACTATCATTGCATTCCTAGACATACGTGCCACTTTTGACTCCGTTGATCGACCTGCTTTATGGCGTTTGTTGCTAAAGAAGGGGGTGCCAGAGAAATATACCGCCATCTTACGAGCACTTTACCTTCATACATCCGGCAGAGTGAGGGTCCATGGCAAGCTTTCCTCGTAATTCGCTGTCAATAGCGGTGTGCGACAGGGCTGCCCTATGTCCCCATTCCTCTTCAACTTCGTAATCGAAGACGTTCTGTCGAATGCTCTAGAAGGTTTCCAACATTTTGGCTTAGAGCTTCTACCGGGTGAGCGCGCGACCGACTTAGATTATGCTGATGATATCGCCTTACTTGGTGACTATCCTCAGAGTATGCAACTCATTCTGGATCGTTTGGCGGTTGAAGCATCTAAGTATGGCATGAGCTTCGCCCCATCGAAGTGTAAAGTACTGCTCAATGATTGGCTTTCACCTACTCCCGTGCTCACTCTCGAAGGTGCACAACTGGAACAGGTAGATAGTTTCGTCTAACTTGGGAGCTGTGTTTCTGCTGACGGCACTATCAACAAAGACGTTTCTCTTTGTATCGCTAAAGCTCGATCAGCATTTGTCAATCTGAGGCACTTGTGGCGTCGTCGCGACGTCTCATTCTCACTAAAGGGCCGCGTTTACAGCGCATCAGTTCGCTCAATATTGTTGTATGTGTGCGAGTCCTGGCCGCTTCGCGTGGAAGACATGCGTCGTCTTTCTGCGTTCGATAACGGTTGCTTAAGGAGGATCGCTCGTGTTTAATGGCAACATCGAGTTAATAATAATGACGATCGATGTCGCATCTTGAGGAAAGCGAGTGTTCCCTTCAACAAACTGGTTTTGTTGCGCCAGTTAAGATGGCTCGGTCATGTCCTACGCATGGCACATGAGCGTCTACCGCGTCGCGCTCTATTCGCTCGTTAAGGATCTGGCTGGAGGCGACCGCGTGGTGGTCAGCCTTTCACTTGGCAGCAGAACATGAAATCGCTGACGTCGTGTCTAGCCGCTGTTGGAACCGTACGTTTTCCAGGATGGGGACCCAAAGATGAAGAGTGCCAATGGCTTAGCACTCTTGAAGACATGGCCCGCAACCGGAATCATTGGAAGAATTGTGTACAGTATTGTATTGATTCACATGTTTAATACTATCAACATTAAAAATGACAAAAAAGAGCAAAATCGGCGTGTGAAAAACAAACTAAAAATGTTGTGTTCTACTTTTTTTTCAAAATTTTCTACTCTTCCTGCGGCATAATAGCTGAAGTATGTTGCTCACCTTCAACTAGCATGCCACGGTGAGTATGACGTGATGACTGTTGCTTATCCGCTGATCTCCATGGTTTTCTGTTGGCTCTGTGTCTAGTTGATAGACTATTGAGATCTACTACTACTAATAATAATAATACTTTTTACTTGGAGTACTTCTTCGGCACTATCCCAATCTATGACGACTCACAACATGCTTTTCAGCACTGAACAGATTGACAGTGACCGTCAATCATTTCGGACCATGCTTTGCCCTCTCGAAATGCAGTCCTACTTCTGTATTCACAGGGACTGACTCTTGGCGGCAATCAGCTGTAAGTTGTTCAGCAATGCAACTACTTGGACGTCTGTGGCAACATCCATAGAGTAAAAGGCGAGTTCAGCAACCGTATATCAGCCGTTTCGTGCTCTTTTGCTACGCTTTGTCACCTACTGCACCCTCACGTTGAAAAGTAGAATCTGCAATGCTGTCGTTCGTTCAACCCTACAAAATCTGGCCCATCGGATCGCTAGACATAGCGTGACTTCCGTCCAACCGCCGTAGCCATCGCGGTCTAGCTCTTATCTGACTGGAAGACCGTAAAAGCCTCGAACTTGTCTACCGCCTTGTTTATTCTAGTCACCATTATTTCACGCACCAGGCTTCTGTGGCTGAGTCAGGTGTTACACCGACTCCAGCTACATGCATTATGCTAGAAGGGAAGAGCAGGACAGCCGGCAACTTGGTCACGAGGAATGAAGACTTTGACTTTGTCCTCTGTTGGTGCCTTTTGGGTTGGATTGCGAAAGGTGACGAGCATTTGTTGTCAAAGCTAAGAGCCGACGTCCATGGCATTCTTATTATGAGTTTCTTCGTCAGGGTTTTCCGATTTCTTCATTTTTGTACAATTTCATCGTATATTCTATCATGGAGTGTTCCCTTGCGGAATCTCACGATGTAGGCGTTGAAGTGCTGCATGGTGAAAGGTTAGTTGACCTAGATTATGCGGACGATATCGTCTTGCTTTTCGACGATGTTGCGGCGGCACAATCAATCCTGAATAGCCTGTTGAGAGTTGTCTCATTATTTGGTATGCACTTCGCACCTCCAAAGTGCAAAGGCTTGCTGCAGGACCACTAGCCACTTTATGACCCCATGACCCTTGCTAACGGGGAACTCGAAGTGGTTGATCAATTCACTTATCTTGGCAGCTGCATCAGCAACGATGGGCATGGGTGACTGAAGTATGCAAGCTGATAGCTAATAAGGTGTGCGCTAATATAACGTGGCATGGAGATGTTGCGTGTCGCTGACGCTTGGGTTTTACCATGACACTCACAGGCCCGTAGCGTAACGGTATTCCATCTCCAATCTTCGCTGTTATGTGGGCGAACTGTTGAAATCTCTCTTTGCCCGAATTTCTATTTGAACAATCGTTGTGTTCACCATCGCTCAATGGGACACTGGACGTTTGTTTCTATATGCTCATCTGCGCACATTATCTTTACTTGGCTCTTAACTGATATCGTTACGTCGTCCTCTAGTGTCAAAAGCTTAATCACTTG